CCCCCCGCCCTCAAGGTGTTTCGATTCTGCCGATCCAAGTGCCACAAGAACTTCACGCGGAAGAGAAATCCGAGGAAATCGAAATGGACCAAGGCGTTCCGGCGAGCGGCCGGAAAGGAGATGTCGGTGGTGCGTGACGGTTTCATTTTCTTCATATATAGAAGTATATATTTTGTACCGTCTTTTATATTTGGGAACGACAGCGCTCCCGCTCTTATAGCTTGCACTACGTATGGTTGCGTGGGATTTTGAGTGGAGGGTCTATCAGCGGCACCTGGGAACAACAGCGTTCCCTCTCTGAGCTTGATACCACATTGTCGTGTGGGATTTTTTTGTGTGCCGGGGTGTCAGCGGTAGTTCGGCGGGAAACTGGTAGGGAAATGCGGAATTGAAGGCGACAAGACCATGCGGCAGCCTTTTTGGACAGGGGTGAATTTCACCCCTCATCCTGATCAGTGTTACCGCTGCATAACGAGTGGGTTTTGGTTGGTCCATCAGTCGTGAGAGTGAACCCCCCGCTTCCCCGCGCGCCCATGTTGCGTTGCCGCCTCGATGCTTTCATCTTGACCAATCAGGACACGACGTTCGACTTCGAGAAGCGGCGGAATAGGCCAGTCAAGTACGACAGGGAGGCCATGGGGAAGACTCTCCTCGCCATGAAGAAGGTGGAAAAAAAATACCGCAAGTTCGCTTCTCTCTATTTAGAAAAACATTAGTAAAGCGCAAACAGGTTGAGTTTGATTGGTGTGCGTAGCATGCATGCTACCCCAGGTTGGCTCTTCCGATGGCCCGTGGCTGCTGCAAAACTGCGCTTACGGCGCCGGGAAACACCGGGAAACACCGGGAAAATAATACGCTTGTAGAAATATTGACCGCAGAAGCGAAGTGCGTGCCAAGTGTGTTCGTCACGTTCTACTCGCGCGGAAGAAATTTGGGCGTACGTATTGGGAAGACTGAAAGGAGAGAACGTCGACAGACGTTGTAGAGAGATTGTACCTTCATGAGTTATTTTTATCCTGCGGTTGGGTCCGCAGTTTGGCTAGTCGGCATCTGTCTTAACCGCCACGCTGAACAAAGAGTTGGTTCGCTGTTGTTGACGATCGTGGTGGCGTCAGGTGTGGTAGACACTCGCAGCGGCGGTATAGTTTCACGTGAAAGGATGTACATGTATGCATGCATGCATAACGCCGTCAGGAAAAGGCCAAGGCCTCTCGAACGAAGAGACACGGCAATGTTTGTTGCACAGGACAGATGTAGGCGTGAGATGTCTGAGAAAGTAATGGGAATGAGTGGGATGCCATCACGAACTGGACACATTATTTTCAGGAAATAGACTACAATATACGTACAATACGGTACACGAACAATCAAAGAAATATTTTCCCGTTTGAGATACTTCCGCAGCAGTAGTCGAAGGGCATGTGCTGAAAGTCTTCACACTTAGTGGTAGAAACACCTCATGGATACTTGCTACTTTTTGGGTGTATTTAAGCCTGTACTCATTTTGTTTGCTCTAAGCAAAGGTTCAATGTGACGACAACAACAGGGGTAACTCGGTGCTTGGCTTGTTTTGAGTGTATTTAAGCCTATACACATTTTGTTTGCGCTAAGCAAAGGTTAAATGTGACGAGAACAACAACAGGGGTAACTGGGTGTTTTGAGTCTATTTTTGTCTACAACAACCTTTTTGTTGTTTTTTTTTGTTTTGTTATTAGGTGAAGGAGGTCCAGGCGAAGAGGGAGAAGCGGTTCTTCGAGAACAGGCACAAGGGAGCCCTTGCGAAGGAGAAGGCCGCCATCAAGGCCGAGATCAAGGACAACATCGAGCTCCTCGCTCCGGCGGCGGCGGTGGACAGGGAGAAGACCCTCACGGCCATCTCGGACAAGGCCAAGCAGGTGTGTACATGGTTACCATGCTGTTTTGTTTTGGTGGTTGTTGTTGCCCTTGTCCTTGTCCTCTTGGTGTGTTGCAGCTGTAGTTTTTTTTTCGCTGATGATGTCCTTATTGTTGCACGTGTCGTGCAGTTGTGTACGTGGCTGGGAGGGTCTTGCTGCTGTCTTTGTTGTGAAAGTTGTGCTGCTGTTGTGGTTGTAGTTGCACCGTATGACACAGGATAACACACCCCCTTGACCGATTTTGGGAGCTCGGTTTCTCAGCTGCCGGAACAGTCACAGCGCCGAAAAACGGCGGCGTTGAAACCGTCTCGTCGAGAGCTTTTCGAAAATGTTTCGTTTCGTTTATGCATCCTCTTCGTCGTGGAGTAATCGAGCGTTGAAAATCGGTCCAGGGGGGGTGTTATCTTGTGTCATTTATGGCAGTCGCAGCTCGTAGGAGGTGTGCTGGCTGCAGCTGTAGGGGTTTTTACTGAGACGTCATGATTGTTGGACGTGTCGTCTCACTGTCGTTGTGGCCGTTGCTATTGCCATAGTGTGTGTGTGCTTTCTTTCTGTCGTTCGTTACACTCTTTGTCATTAGTGGCACTTCATTCCACTTTTTCCCGTCGGTACTACAACACTTCTGTTGGTCTCGTGTTCGTTATTTGCCTCTCGATCGATCCTGTGTCGCCACCCGACGTGCTTCTGAAGAGGCCAACACGTGAGTTCCGCCCACTCTAACCCCCTCCCCTCTCCCTCTCCTCACCTCCCTCTCGTCCCCCTGTCCCCGCTGATGAGCAGAAAGCCTCTGCGGCAGCGTCGAAAGCGAGAACCCTTATGGAGACGGAGGACTAAAACTAATGGGCCTTCTTGAAAAAAAAGGGCAGCAGGCCATGTTTTTGTGGCGTACGTCTTTTCTATTTTTTTGGGGGGGCCACGTTGACGTGGTTGGGATTTGGTACTCACCCACCTTNGGGGGGGGGGGGGGGGGGGGGGGGGGGGGGGGGGGGGGGGGGGGGGGGGGGGGGGGGGGGGGGGGGGGGGGGGCGAGATGCTTGTCGCACTGGCGCTCATGGTTTCGTTGCTTGCATTTTCCCTATGAGGGGTGTGTGACGTGGTTGTTAAACTGACACGCATGTTTTGGTGCAGGGAGGGGGGGGTGCGAACGACCTTCCATCTGCCCACGGAGCCCCTTGTTTTTTTTCCTCTTCTCGGAAGGCGCTTCGCGGGGGAATGTAGGGAGAGCGAAAACGTTTGACAGGAGAGGCATAAGAGTTTTATAGATATAGGTTGCGTGCGATTCCGATCTCCCTGGACCGATTTTCCGAAGCACTGTTGTTGTGCAGCTATGAAAAGCGACGGTGCCGAAACCGGCGGCGTTGGAACCGTCGTCCCGCCGAGTAGCCTTTCCGCCAATGTGCATTTTTTTTACTTGCGCATCCTCTTCGCGGTGGAGTAGTCGGGCTTTAGGAATCGGTTCAAGAGGGGCGGTATCTTACGTCATTAAACCTACGCTTTTTAGAATCGATTCAAGCGGGGGGTGGTTTCTTACGTCATGTAGCCTACGGCTACCCCCCTGCCCCCGCGGGGTCAGGAGAGTCTCACACGAGTAACGGCTTCAACGCGCGTATGCATGCTGCACGTCCCGCGTCTTCAAGGGGGTCGGGTGGGAGGTGTTGAGAGTCCCGCAGCAGCACCTCGTTAAGAATACCCTACTTTATTTCTAAATAATAATGCGTGACGTCACAGAGAGCCGGTGTATCCTTCGGCGGGTAGTGTGTCGTTTGTTTGCATTTGCCGTCCTTGGTGGGCCGTGCTCCATGGCAGCCGTGCTGATGGTTGGAAGGGCACACACACCTCACGTTAGCGAATTGGAATTGGCTCAATCAAACGTGTGTGGGTGCGATGTGCGTGCGATCGGTTGACAATGGCGTTGACGGCGCTGTCCGACTGATGAGCCCCCCCTCAGTGCATCAGCTCTCGCGGGGATAACAATCTTGGTTTTAAAAGGGGATACGGTGTGGGGGGTTGGGGCTTAGGGACACGACCCCCCCCCCCCCCCCCCCCCCCCCCCCCCCCCCCCCCCCCCCCCCCCCCCCCCCCCCCCCCCCCCCCCCCCCCCCCNCCCCCCCCCCCCCCTCTCTATTTCATAGATGAAAGAATAAAATTGTCGCCAAGGAGGTCATCCTCTCGGTCGGAAGGACGGAAACCAGGCTGCGATCTGTGGGCGAGCTCGCGCATGGCCATGCTTCCGAGTACAGTCGGGGTCCCGGTTTATTTAGCGGTTACCTGTTTAGCGGGATGCCCTGAAAAGCGGTCCCAAAATCTCGCGGCACGGCTACACCTCGACCCTTGGACCAAGAGTGTTTTTCAAAGCAAGCGTTGAAGATCTGTCTGCCTGCTGCCTGCCTGTTTGTGCTCTTTCTCTCGTCGTTCTGTATGACTACAGACTGGAGCTCCTACCCGGGAGAAATGGTGTGAGCGCTGTTGTACAGGGTGATGGAAATGGAGAACAGAATGGTTAAGCTCTTGACTACGCGCAGCGATAGAACGTTCCCCAATCGAACACCCGCATCTTGGAAGAAATGGTATCTGGGTCGAGTCGAGTTCTTCATGCACACCCAACATTTGATTTGCTGAGATAGATGATGGTGTTCGGGTCTCGCGCAACTTGTTCTCGACGGCGTTGGCAACGGAAAATGGATTTGGGTCTGGACCCAACACCATCGTTGTTGTTGTTGCTGTTGGTGGTGGTGATTCCGTCTTCACATTTGTAACCGTTCCGGTGTCTGTTCAGTATCTCCCAACCGATGCCGCTTGACGGCACCACCACCGCCGCGTTGCCGTGAGCAGAAACGTCGGGAAGGATATTAACCCTCCGCCCCAACAAGAGGGCACCAAATCACCGTTCGTTCTTTTCGACCCTTCGAGGACCAATCAATGGCGACGACGGGTGAAGTATGTCGGATGCATTCCACGAACCAATCGTCGGGAACGCAAAGCCCCATGTGCGACAAATCGTAACATTGTACGACAAACCGTAACGCTCATTTTTCGTTGGTGGCTGGGGATCGACCAACCAGCACCAGACGGACGGGTGGCGCGCCGATTGTCGGTTAGTGTACCGTACGCTCTACCGCTGTAGGAACAACCCTGTAGAGATACTTCAAGCAGGAACGATCCTGCACAGATACAGAACGCGCCCGTACTCTAGAACCCAGGAGCTAAGAAATAGGGCGTAAAAATTCAAAATCTAAGAACTTGGGCCCCATCAGAGGGCTCGGTCAAGAAACCTCACACTAAAACGTATATAGCGACCATTCGTAGCATGGCCCTAGGAATACGGTAACAACCCCAGCCTCGGTCGAAACTAACAATAGAGGTTCTTAAGTGCGGGCGCGTTCGGCATCTATCTGCACGCGCACCAAAGACATCGACGTTGTGCACGCTGACAGAGTAGCTTGCCTACGGAGAGACGCCTGCGCCATGGAACGCATCCATCCACAGATCACCGCTCGCCCGTGGCAACAGCTAAGACCGAATACCCTACACAAAAGGTGGGACGCGGATGCATTCTGGGGGCTCCCAAGTAGAATCAAAGAGAGTGTGCGGGGTGGTCTACAACCACAAGAGCACATACAGAGCGGGCACTTGCTCCGAAAGTACCATCCGTTGGGAAAAAATAAGAGGTTCAACATTTTCACGAACAAAAAACGAATAACAGAAGGAAAGGGTAGGTAGCGCACGTGACACTTTCCAACAAGAATTAATAGTCTCGCGTTGTCGCGAATCTACGATCGATCACTCGCCGTCAGATCTACGAAAAAGCTACGAAAAAATTGCATCTTACACTTGCACCCTACCTAAATAACAACCTGCGCTCGACGCCGGTGGCGACGAACAAAAAACGACATGATCCACGACCCCAATTCGACGTTGACTAGCTCACCGTGGGTCCGTCCTGTGGTCCATCACGTGCGTATGCGACTCTAGTAGCCACCCTGGCCACGGCAAAGGCCACGTGCAGAATACATGATGAGCACACGTCAGACGGCCCCGGGCCTCTGAGTCTCGAAAACCTCAAGGGTGCTCTTGTGCCCGGCACGTCTCGATCTGGTCCGAAACACTTTCGGCGTTGGCCAGCAAAAACTCCTGACGTGGCAGTTAGTTGGCACAACAACCCACGGCGGGCGAGGAGATAGCGGCCGGCAGCTGAGTGAGTAGGGGGACAGGCGATAAAAAGCAAAACATACCTGTTTTCTTCTGTGCCGCTGTTTTTATATACCTCAATAGCTCGGTAGTTCCATGCCGTGAGGGCTTTCGAGGACAAGAACCAATAAGCCCAGTCCCCAGCAAGTGCCGCTCACCCTCACAAAAAATAACTCGCACCTAAAAAACAACCACGTCACGTTGACTAGTCGATTTGTCCGTGCCTGCTTGTTGCTTTCATGACAACACCGTCGACACGCACGGTCCCGTGTGGTGACCACCACTCCACCGCCACCTCTAACCGCCAACGAAAGCATCTGAATGAGGATGAGCAGCATGCTTGGCTGAGGCAAGCTGTGTTGCCGACCACTCAACCCTTACGGGAAAAAAAAAAAAACTCATTCGTACGTGAGAGGTATTTCGGGAAGTATCGGTCTTTCTGCGATGTATCGTGACGCTATATGGTAGGTAGAGAACACCAAGGTGACGCCATCGCCAGCCAGTCGCCGCCCCCCCCCCCCCCCCCCCCCCCCCCCCCCCCCCCCCCCCCCCCCCCCCCCCCCCCCCCCCC